GTCCTACTTGCGCGTCCCTAGTTGGACTTCTAGGGTTTTATTGTGTATGTAATAGGCATATGACTGTATCTATATACCTAACTTAAATACCTGTATATCTATAATTACATGTTCCTACAGTGGGAAGCCCCACCAGCCGAGGCGGGCGCGCGCTAGCGTTTACAAATACTGTTGCCCCAAACCCAAGTACCTAACTATTGGGTACTTGGACCCTTTGGGTAACTTTGTGGAACACAGTCAATGCCGAGGCCCAGGGTTAGAACAACTACTGTCGCGGCCTCAGCAGCTTTCTTTGCTGCTTCAGCTGCTGCCGCCTCCTGTGCAAAACGTGCTCGTGACATCTGCAAACTACAGCGTATCCAAAGGTGGATGTCCCAAAGCTAGGGACTGAAGGAACCTTCTTTAATGAAGAGGTAGGCAAAGCCTTCATAATCACTTTCAGCGGGAGCCCTTTGCAAACTGTTTGTGGAGAAACATGTCGTCAACCCCCGGAGGGCTCGGCTGCTTTGCTGTCTGCTGCCCTAAGCCTTAGGGCTTAGGATTTGGGCTCAGGGGTTTAGTGGTTTAGTGTTCAAGGTTTTTTGCTGTAGGGTTTCGGGTTTAAGGCACCCTAAAACCCCAAATAAACCCCAAATGGGTGGTTGTCTAAATTATGGTCCCTTTTTGGGCACCCTAAATATTAGGTGCCGTATTATAGGGATCCAAAAAGGCACCATAATTTTGACAGCCACCCAAATGAACAAAAGACGGCAAAGGCGCCTCAGAAGCTCTCTTTGCGGCTTCGGCAGCTACTGCCTCCTCCTGCAAAAACCCTGCTATGGAGATGGTCCATGAGTACTTATGACCTTAGTACTGTGCATATGAGCCAGCCATAACCCCCAAAAGTCCCCAATATGGTTATAATAGGGTTGTAACTACCACATAAGCTCCCATGGACCTCCAAGTAATTGCATCAATCCGCTGTGAATTTCGCATGCCTGGTAAACTACCCAAACAGCTGTACTCCTTCTTGCTGGGGACCCGTCGAACAAGAGTTGCATTTCATAAGGAAAGCCCCTAAAACCCGAAAAGCTCCAGCTACCTCTGTCAGATATACTTGGAACCTTGAGGGCCCCTACAACTATAAGGTTTAGGGATCAGGGTTTAGGGTTTAGGGTCCATTTGAGGTACCATAGACCATAATTATTTAAGGCATCTGGAACCATAATATTGGTAATGATTTTGGCCGCTGTATTACATGACTCACGGTCTAATTTTAAGGTCTCCCCGTTAGGACACTCATGTATACACGCACCAAGATTCCTCTAAACAAGCCTATCTGGGTTCCCCAGTAACCACCTAATAACGAAGGTACCCTTTTGCCTACTGTTCAGCTTTCATAAGGAGACCTCACAATGAAAAGGGAAAAACTCTACAGGGGTACCGAGCTACACACACTCACCAAATACCATAACAAAAGCCCGACTTCACTATGGGTACTTGAAGCCTTTGCGACGCCCTGAGGCCACATGGTAGTTTCCTGAGAAGGGGGATTCTGACATAGACCCCCAAAATGCCATAGTCCTCATTACAGGGAAGCCCCGCAAGAGTTATCCCTCATTTGAACCATCGTCTAAACTCCTAGTATCCCCCTTAAGAACCCCTATGATACTCCCATAAAAGAACCCCTTTAGGCCCTAAACCCTAACCCCCATATAACCCCATTTAAGGAGCGTAGACTAGGGACCCCCCCTCTCCAAAAGGTATCCTTAATTTTGGGAAACCCACCCGCATGTACCCACAGCGGCCTGGGCTTTCTTGGCAGCTTCTGCTGCAGCAGCTTCCTGCGCACCGAAGCAGCATCAGCTGACAGGGTTGAGGGTTTTGGCTGACAGTCCCAAAGGGTCCAAGTACCCAATAATTAGGTACTTGGGTTTTGGGCAACTGTAATTATAGTATAGGTTTTGGGGTAAGTATATGATTATTAGGTACTTGGACCCCTAGGGAGTTTCCTAAACCCTGAAGCCTAAACCCCTCCAATCTGGCTCCTCTTTGGGTTTGGTACGGTTTTTGGGGAAGGATTCTTATTAGGTCCCCCCCAACAAATTACAACATTGGAGGGTCCAGGTATGGGTCTACCCGAAGGCTCCACGCGGTTTGGAGTTCATAGGGTTTAGAGCTCCAAGTCAGTAAACAGTAACAATAACAACAGTAATGAGACATCAACAGTAGTAGCAAGCAACGTTTCGTACTACCCTAAGGGTCCAAGCACCTAAAAATCATATACTTACCTAAAACCTGTACCATAATTACTATTACCCAAAACCCGAGTACTTGATTATTGGGTACATGGACCCTTTGGGTTCGCAAACACCAAAAAGTCATAGTACTCGTATACCTACTGCCTGGCCTGATGTCTGGAAATGATACCACCGCTTTAAACCCTACAGTCCACCTTAAGTAGATAGAATATGGCTTTGGGCATATTACAATAAGATCCCCATATACCCCGTATTCTATCTACTTAAGGGGGACTATACACCCTGCACCCTAGACCCTAGAACCCTAAACACTAAACCAAAACCCTAATATTTAGGGATTTCCGAAAATTTTGGGTACCTTTGTTGGGGTCCCCATAATAAGGACTATAGTATTTTGGGGTCTATACTGGGGTCCCCTTATTTTGGGAAACTGCTATTTGGGCTTCGGGACCTTTTGTTAGGATCTACCTGCACTCTTCGGTGCATGGAGCTTTCGAGCGACCACACACCAAGGAACCACCAAGCTCACACGAAAGCAGCACTTGGAGGGTCATGGGGACTTAGTAAGTAGGTTCATAATTAGGATAACTAGGATTATTATATGGGTTCTAGGGGTTATTAACCTACTTGCTAAGTCCCCCTGAACCTCCAAGTAGCACGGGGGCGCGCTCTCCAAAAGGAGCCCTGACAAGCCTGATCTCCCAGAAGAGGTTTTGGATATTTCAAAGTCTACCCTACGGGTTTAGGGTTCAGGGGTTTAGGGTTCATCCAGATAGCCCAAAGTAGGTAATATTTAAAGACTTTAGGGCCTGATGTAGGTATTATTTGTATACTTGGATCCCTAGGGCTACTGATGACTGTACTTCAACCCAATAAAGTCCCCTAAGTCCCCGACATATGGTTAGACGTGGTCCATAAAATATAATTACAAGTGGGTTAGAAGTACCCATGGACCTGCAAGTGGAAGGTAAGATTCACAACAACATAGGGTCTAGGGCTGCGGCTCCATCCCGGGTGGCGCAGGCTTTAGGGTCCAGCTGTGTGTGCTCTTGATATTAGAAATCGTGCATGACCTTTGTATCCGGTACTTAATACTTACCATGATGCCGGATTTTGTGTATCTCCCTGTTTTCTTTGTAAGTTGGGCCTGCTGGTATGTACACTACACCTATGAAAATCCCATTCCTGGTCAAAGCCTAGAAGATTTCAAGAACAACGCTGAGGATGGTGAGTGGACTCTAAGCAGGGCCTCGTATCCCGCAGCGCAATCTGAATCCACAAGAATTACCCCCTACAGTGGATGGAAGTCTTGCACCACCCAGTAAAGCCTAATGATTACATTTTTGTGGGATCCCACGTCGTGCAAGATTTCCTCCATCCACCCTAAACCATGCCCCTAGAAAACCTGAATCCCTCAAGTCCACAACCTTACATCTAGAGAGGATGTACCACTGTAGCGTCAAATACTAATAGCTAGAAGAGACAGTACGATACTTATTGGTATGCTCCCCACCTACCCTTCCTCATATTCCCACTCCGGAACCCCTTCTTTACACTTCACTTAAACCCAGACCTAAAGCCCTAAGCAGTCGACCCGAATTAGCCCTGGACCCTACACTCTGAGCCGGAAACCCTTACCCTAAGCCTTGGGCCCAGCACCCAAACACTAAACCCTATATACACCCCCAACTTGTAATCGTTTTAGGCGTACTTTTTTTTGTTTGGCGATGTTCTTCTTCGTAGTTCCCGGGGGTATACCATACCGAAAACTGAGAATAATCCCTGACTGGGTGGGAGAAGCCAGGTGCCTCCTCAGATTCCGGAAGTTGTGACGGGAGGTTGACAGGAGGCTCCTGCTTTAAGAAATGTCAGCCGTACATTTTAGTGTCTAGGGTTGGGGTTTAGGGTCTGGTTTTTCGGATTCAAGGTTTAGGTTAATATTTGCGGTTGCTTGCGTTAGGGGTTCAGGCTTCAGTTTTTAGGGGCTTTGGCTTAGGTGTGGGGGTTTCAGTCCTAAACCCTAAAACCCTTCCTGAGGATTTACGCGGTTTAGGGTTTGGGGGTTTAGCAGCTTCGAAACTTTGGTTTGGTCTGCGATGGCTTCTTCCCAAAGGATCCATGTACCCAATAATTAGGTACTCGGGTTTTGGGTGATAGCAATTATAGTACAGGTTTGGGGTAAGTATATGGTTATTTGGTACTTGGACCCTTAGGGTATCATCAGCCCTACACTCTACGCAGAGGCTCATGGGACTTCGTAAATAGGCTGTAAATGCGGTAAGCGCGCCAACACCAATTAGAGGACTTGTAACCCCACTTGTCACCTACTTTCTAATTAAATCTGCTGAGCTTTCAAATCCCAAACGAAGAGCCCCTAAACCGTAATTCCTTGAGGGTTTAGGCTTCGGGCTTGTAAGGTTCAGGGTTTAGGGCTTAGGGTTTCCTAACCCCCAGGCCCCCAAGCCCTGTACTGTTAAACCCTAAACCTAAAACACTGAAGCTTCCTGCCGCCTCCATATCCCTTTTGCCACATGATACCCCTATATGTCCCTTAACCTTTTACCCTAATCCCTTGGCCTATAAGAAGTCACCAGCACCAGCCTCCTGAGGGCGACGATTGGCCTGTTCCATGGCCTCGGCGCTGCATCCACTGTTGGGGGGGACTTAAGATTTGTAGAGTTTGGGGTTTAGGGTCTAGGATTTAGGGTCTCAACCCTAAACACTGTAAGATTTGGGCTTTGTATATGGCTACAGAAATTGAAAAGATTGCTGGAACCACAAAAGCAAACATTCTAGTTTCTTGCATCGAAAATTCTAGATGCCGTTGCAATCTTTGGCGGATGATCGTGGGAAAGCATCAAAATTCCATTCTGAAGGGAGGGGCTACACAGGGTATCCCACGAAAAACAACAAGATTTCGGTCTTCATAAAGTCTTGGATCCTAAGTCGTCCTTAGTAACCCTCAAAATGCGATGATCATATGATCCTTTCATGCAAATGATCCTTTCATGGTGATGCCTCAAACATGACAATGACTTCTTGAAAACCACACTCGTCCCCTACTGCACTTCCTACGAAAAGACTACCTGGTGCTTAGTGGAGATCAGGGAATGGACCCTAAGCCCTAAACCCTCAACCCTAAACCCTAACATAGTCCTTACAATCCTTTCCCTGCATTCCTACTAAGCATCAGGGAGAGGAGGATGCCATCACCCTGGGGCCTTAGGGTTTAGGGTTTAGGGGGCGGGCCCCTAATTTCTATTTTTGTCAAGTAGCGAATAACTTATGACGAGGACAAGCATAAGTATGAGGCCTGTCGCTTATAGTTAATTATGGCATGCATCAGTTCCTAAACCCTAAACCGTGTAGCAGGTAAAGCTATGCAACTAACCCACACCACACTGTGCCTCTATACCCTAGACTGTAACCCCTCAGAACTATGTAATAAAGATATTATCAAGAATTCCCCGGGCTTATACAATACTTCAAAATCTAAGCCCTAAACCCTAAAACTCTAAAACCTAAAGCACTAAAACCCGAAAACCCTAAAACCCTCAAACCCTAAACCCCAAAACAGTAAAAACCTACAACCCTATTGGGAGTATCAGCTACCCCTGAGGCCCTGGCCTGCTTTTGCCGCCTCGCTTCCACCTGAGGATTGATTTTATCTGAGCTATACTCTAAACTCCGAGTATCCCCCTTAGTAATCCCTATAATACATAATTCCCCATATAACCCCCCTTTAAGGAGTTTAGACTATAGCTTATCTGGGGGTGGGGGGGGCCTCATGTTTAGGGATTTGGTTTAGGGTTTGCGATTTAGTGTTTGGTGTTTAGGGTTTTGTTTTGGGGTTTGGGGTTTGGGGTCTAGGGTTAGGGTTAGGGGTTTCAGGGTAGGTATCAGGGTCAGGTGGTTACAAGTTGAGAGTTTGAGTTTTGAAGCGCGCCACCGTTTCCTTACAGCATGAGCATAAATGCTATCCAACTATAGATAGCCAGCAATAATGAGCATGCTTTCAGGACACTGCTAGGGTAAGGTTGCAGGTTTCAAAGCCGTAGATGAGAATTCCAAACGGATGCCTGTGACTTCCATACAGTTCTCTGCGAATCTGAAGGTGGACTCTCGCCATCCCTTTTTTTAGCGGCTACTGTTTCCCAGCAACTGCAGAAATTGAGGAAAGCAATGTGGGATTGTTATCTATGTAAACCACCATTTGGGGTGAGGTCTTGTGAGGTCGTGTATAATTTATAGTTAACCCTAAATCCCAAATTCCAAAACCCTACACCCTAAACCTTAGATCCCTAAAATCCGAAAACTGAAAGCTCTAAACCCCAAAAACTAAAAACCCTAAACGCTCGAAGCCGAAACCCTGAAGCCGCCAGTTTGATGAAGGAGCTAGCTGCTGAGGACCGAAAGAGGGCGGAAATAGAAAGCAAACACATTGGGTCATTCCTCCTTAAGGTAGCAGGCCCTCAAGGGGCCTTCTTCAGGCACTATTATGATTCCTATTACGGATTTCGTTAGCTGCTGCTGTCAGAGAGAAAGACCTGTCAAATACACAGCAAAAGCACAGACCTGTCAAATACACGGGGAAATGCACACACACAAAAACCGAAAACAACGTTTTAGTGTTCATCGCTGCTAGCAGCCGGCAAAACTGGGGGGGGCGGGTGTATACTGGGGAGCGGTAGGGGAGCCAAGGACCTTTGGAAGGGAGCGACCCACGCAGATAGTATTTGCCCTAAACCCTACAAACCCTAAACCCTACGACTCGCCTGCTAGACCTTCCTTACCTCAGGCTTGGGGCTCGAGACGCACGCGGTTTAGGGTTAAGGGTTAGGGTTTACTCTGAACTCAACTTTCACTCCCAAGTTACCTAAATAATGGGTTCTGGCTTCTATATATCCTAAAGTTACATAACCCAGGAACCTACTATTTAGGTAGCGGAGAGCCCTAGGGTAAGGGACAGAACTTAACTGATGAGGATTCCTGATGTCATGTACGGAATACTCTCTAATTAAGGCGCGCTAGGCTTCTCGGAGATGTATGGTAGTTTTCCTAACTAGGGGGGCCCCCAATCTAGACCCCAAACGCAATAACCCGCATTATAGGGCCTCGAAAGGTACCCCTAAGTTTGGGGAAACCTTAAATAAACCCAGTACAAGGCCCTATACATCCCCTACAAACCATTTTCAAGGTGCCCCTAATTTTGGGAAGCTCCTATATTTCACTCCTGAAACGCGTAGAGCCTAAGCGAGATCCCAGCCCTCAACACACCCGAAACCTGCAACCTCCAACTTCACAGCCCAACTTCAAACCTTTCGGGGTCCCTAGAATAAGGTTTAGGGTTTAGAGTTTAGGGTTTAGGGTCCAAGTACCCAATAATTAATGTCCCTACAATAAGGTTTAGGGTTTAGGGTCCAACAAAAACCTTAAACCCGGCAGTCTACCCAAAACTCTGAATTCCTACGCAGACCCTCCTGAGTAGTTCCTTTTTGGAAAGTATACTATAACCCCTACCAAAAAAAGCAAACCCCAAAAGAAACTACATAGGAGGTGTGGGGAAGCCCTCTATCTTAAGACTACAGCCTTGGATTTCCGCTTCAGGGTTTTGGGTTTAGGGCCTAACTGGAGGTCTAGTTGACGATGCAACTTTAATCCTTCAACCTACAGCTGTGGTTCATGATTCTAGTCCACTGAGATCACCAGGCTGAGCTGTGGATTCATAAGGGTTTAGGGTTTTGGGTTTGGGGTTTAGGGTTTAGGGGTTCATAAGGTCCAAATATACGGTTTGATTTTCGGTTTGGAGACCCTCGTGCCTTAAGAACGCCCAGCTCATGGCTTTCCTTTGGCTTTTTTCCCGCTTCCATGGCCTCAGCTGGGATTTTGACTTTCACCTAGGTTCTAAGTTGGGGATTCGGGTTACTAGGCTCCTTCCTCTAGCTTGTAGTAGAAGCTTGCAAAAAACAGATTCTACTCTGGGGCTGTGATTTGTTGTTGTGTTTTTTTTGCCTTGTGGTTGTTGAACCAAGTAAGAGTATACATTTGTGCCTAGAGAATAGAGAATCACAAAGGAGGATGGCATCGTTTTCTAAAGTGAGGCTATGGTATACCTATCAAGACCAATCACTACTCAGCTCGGGGTTTCAGGAGTAACTCTGGGTTGAGGCCCTAGCGACTAGACACGGTATCTACTTTGAACGGCCGGTGAAGTCTAGAACATCCACTGCTTTGGGACTTGAGGCCTAGAATGGCCCTCGCTCAGAATCTAGAGGTACGACTCGTTTCCGCCTATTTCTGGGCCATTTGGCGCCCGAATTGAAAGTGTTTTGAGGGGTGTTGGGGCCCGTGTCAGAAGGCGGAAGGATTTTAGGACGTGCGGCGCAGGCGTTCTTTGGGTGATTCGCGCTGAAGCTGGCTGAAGCTAGGCTTCAGTTGCAGAGCATTGGAGAACAACATTTCTAGCTGTTTCCCAGAGGGTCCAAGTACCCAATAATTAGGTACTTGGGTTTAGAGTAATAATGATTATAGTACAGGTTCTCGGTAAGTATATGATCATTAGGTACTTAAACCCTAAACCCCAAACCTTAAACCCTAAACCCTAAATATCCGTATATATATATATACCCCCTTTAAAGGGACCTAATTATGATTATTAGGTATTTGGACCCTTAAGGCTTTGTGTCAGACATCCGAATAGGATGCAGGGTTTCAGCATTGGGGTTGGGACCTCGGCCACTCAAAGGGCGCCTTTGGAGATCCATGGGTACTTACAAATAACCTACATATAGATGTACGTATACCCCACTTATGAAACCCAATTACAAGCGCCCAAAGTCCCCAGATATGGTTATGATTAGGTTATAACTGCAAACATACACCTTCATGGGGTGTACTTGGGACATTAATTTGGTTCCTGAGACCGCAAGCGTTCCTAGATATGCCCCATACTCCAGCCCCCCGGTGGGTAGTTATCAGGTGGGTACCCTTGAAGGAGGCCTTATAGAGCCCCCTTATCTTTGTCCTCAGGCTCAATGAGGTCTATAAGGTAGAGGGACCCCAGTGTTGAACCCCAATATACTGTAGCCCGCAACTGTACCCCTTATTTTAGGAAACCCACCTAAACCCTAAACCCTAAATGTGGTCTATATACAACTCCTTCAAGACTATCCACCTGAAAACTACACACTTGGGTGTTTCCTTCACCGTATAGGCCCTCGCAGCCTTCAAGCTAGCCCTAACCTAATGCCCAAGCACGCTATAGCTCGTCTAAACCACGATTGCAACAGCTGACAAAAACCAAGACAAGTCAGGGCAAATTAGCTACTTACGAAGATGAATCAGACCAAGTGTCCACACTATGCTGGTAAGATGCTTCCAGTAAAGCTCCATGAGCGTGGACCCAATATCCAAGCTGAAAACGCGACATTTGGACGCTTGCGTATTTTGGCTTTTTGATCAAGAGTATAGGGTAAAGTGAGTAAGATGTGACTTCGCGTGAACTCTACTAGGCTGCCCGCGAAACGACTGATCCCGCCCAAACACGCCGAACGCCTGCCACAATTTATCTACATGAAATTCCAGTATGTATGAGGAATGATATGGCAGTGGAGGACATGCCGTGCATTTCAGGATATTCCCCTAGGCTGCCATCCGGACATCCGTGTCAAGCCCCAAACCTCCCAGCACAAACTTAGTGTTGACAGCGCCTCATCCCCTTGCCTTGCTTTGTGGGTTTAGGATTTAGGGCTTTGAATCCTACATCCGTGGGCTAGGGTTTAGGGTTTAGGGTTTAGCCTCTACACCCCCTCCTCTTCCAACTCAAGAGTTCCAAACATCTGTGCGCAACATACTCTTACAACCCATAACGCTATGAATCCCGAAAGGGCTTCGATATCTTGGTACCTTCTCAAAGGCTACAGGTATTTATTTTGGAAATACCTAGGCTGGAAAGCATCTGCATATCAACCCTTTCAGGTCCCAAGTATATCTCACAGACTCCAACTACCTAAATAGATAGGAGCCCAATTTACTTGGACAATGACCCCGAAAAATGGGGCCTCTGGGCTAAGCTTAGGATCTTCATCTCATCCAATTCCGAACCCTGTCAGGTTTATGGCAAGAGGTTCTGGGCGGTCTGAGGGACAGGGTTTCAATGTATATATTCACACAGATACTCTGGGGTTTGAGGTACAAAGGTTGGAGGTTTAGTGCGCTGGGTTTAGGGTTTTAAGCCCTCAGCTGACATCTGAAACTCGAGACCTAAACCCCTAAACCCTAAACCCCTCGGCCCTAAACCCTAAACCCCTAAAACCTGAGCCCTTAAACCGCAAAACCCTAAATCCTCCTTAAGTTCCCATAGTCTTGGTCTGCGGCTGCATTCAGCGCAGACGTCCACCTCAGCAAAGGCAACGCCGGACAAGCTGGTAGCTTGCTTCAGCTTCTTCCCAAAAATTCCATGTAGCTATATAGACTTGGGCCCTAAAGTATTTATATGGGAACCCCTTGATGGGTGCATTTGGCTATACTGTATATACTTGGGCCCTAAAGTTTGGGCCTGAAGTTTATACTATATATGTCTACATGGACCCTTTGGGCTGTTTTGCAGCGCCAAAACTAAGCATTTGTTCAAGGTCTTTCAAGCATGCCCCCCCCCCCAGTTCTAAGCTGTTCCATCAACCGGGTTGAGGATAATACTTCAAACAGACTTCAGCTTCGGCGCGGTGTTAAGGTTCGAGTTTCGGGTTTAGATTGGTTTCGGCTTTTGGGTAGAGGGGTTGAGGGGACATGGTCCGTCAGGTCTATCCAAAGTTTTGCAGGAGGTGGTTTTGTTTTAGGGTTTAGGGTCTACATTTGCGGCCGTATACGGAGGATTTGTGGAGGTCCGTAGACTATCTCACACTTCCTTCTGCTCAAGCGGGAGTGGGGGAGTGGATCTCCGTCTAATTAATTCCAACATAATAGGGTTTAGGGTTTGGGGTTTAGTGTTTAGGACTTGGGGTTACTCATCTCAAGTAGTACCTGTCTGCACTGTCCGCCGCCACCTTCAGCAACCCTAAGCCTGAAACTCTCAACCTGAAGCCCGCAGTCCTAAACATCAAAACTCCAACCCTAAGCCCTGAACCCCGAACCCTTTAAGCACCAGCAAGACGGGATGTGGTTTGGACTCGTCACGTTATACAGGAACTAGGGCTAAGGATGCTATCGCTGGGGCGCCCGTGCCTGGTGGTGTTCTTTAACACTCCCCTAAGGGTCCATGTACCAAATATTTGGGTACTTGGGATTTGGGTAATAGTAACTTTAGTACAGGTTTGGTGTAAGTATATGATTATTGGGTACTTGGACCCTTAGGGCTCTACTTGGAGGCCCATGGGACTTAGTAACTACTTAGAACTGGGATTATAACCCTATTTATAGTTTGGGTAACCCCTAAAAGCCCATTTAGGGGGATTATAAGTAGGGTTATAAGCCCAGTTAGAAGTAGTTACTAAGTCCCATGGGCCTCCAAGTAGGCACAAGGCGAGATCCTTTTTAGTGACCAGGGGCGATAGACCCTCATGCTGACACAGGAAATGCATGTGGCTTCCCTATATGCAGACATAGCCAATCCAGGGGTCGTGCCCTGCGAGTTCAAAAGTACTTACTGGCCATTGTTGGGGACACTGCCTCCGTGGTCCTTGTATACCTGTAAGGGTATAAAGGCTTGAGGCTTAGCGTGTGCCAACAATGCTGCATTCACATGTTGGGGTGCTCACGCCAATTCTTACGAAAGTCTGCTTGCAACACCCAACACCTAAGCCCTGAGCCCTAAACACTAAATCCAGCAGCCCGTGAAACTTGGGGTCAGACAGTGGTTCGTGGTTACTTCAACTTGTCGCGAACTATGATTGAACCAACAAATGCTCTAGACGCTACTGTCTCTCTCAACGGGGCTGTACGGGATTATCTGTTGGTTTGGGGCATTCTGGAGTCATTCAAGGTTCTAAAGCTTGTGCTTCCGATTGTTGGGGTACTCTAGGAATTCGGAGCCGTATCATGCACCATGCTAGCCACCCAAGACAGTATCTGTAATAGCCATCAGAAGAGCCTGTAGGTGGCTGTAACTTGGACCCCTGCCTAGCGCTCAAATGAACACAAGCCCTAGACCCTAAACCCCTAAACCCTAAACCCCTAAACCCTAAACCCCTAAACCCCTATAGACCCTAAACCCTAAACCGCTGACTGTAAACCCAAGGCAGGCTCAGGTGCAGACTGTGCTGCATCTGCAGCATTTGTAGTGTAGAGCCTGCAGGGAGGACGCTCCACAACTGGCTGATTGTTAGTACTTGGAGGCCCATTGGACTTAGTAACTACTTATAACTGGGCTTATAACCCTACTTATAATCCCCCTAAATGGGCTTATAGGGGTTACCCAAACTATAAATAGGGTTATAATTCCAGTTATAAGTAGTTACTAAGTCCCATGGGCCTCCAAGTAGGGAGTCCAGAGCAAGGGTTTGTAGGAATGGACAAGAAAATGGGAATTCCTGTAAGGCTTATAGGTTTAGGGCTTAGGGTTTAGGGGACTCGGCACAAGGACATGGAAACCCTTTGTATCTTGGGCGTTTATGTATTGACGCTGCTATCTGGATACATTCCTAAGGCAAAGTGTCTAAACCCTAAACCCTATTTGTGCAATATGTGTCTTTTGATTGCATATTTTTTTGTGCAACGTGACTTCAGGGTCGCTAGGGCTAGGGATGACGACCGATTGTGGGGGTGAGGTGGGAGAAAATAAAGACAACAAACGTGTCATTCACGTGTTTCCAACATCTGGCAGGTGCACCCTTACAATGTAGGATAGAACTGCAATACCACAATGCGCTGCAACTCAGCCTCTCCTTGTTAACCCATAGTTGTGGGTAGCAAGGAAACCTCCGACCCTCTATCCACCCTGGCTCTCAGAGCTTCGGTGACAGTAAAGCCCTGAACTCATGAACCCTACGTCTGCAAGGTACTGTTCTGATCTCGCACCACCTGATGGGTTTAGGGGTTTAGGGTCTAGGGCTTTAGGGTTTGGGGCTTTAGGGTTTAGGGTTGGGTTTAGGGCCTAAATCTTGGAAACTGTAGCATGTTTTGCACCCTATGGGTGGTGCTCTAGAAGCTTACACCCTAGCCTGAGCCCAAATCCCGATATTTCAAAACCTTGGATCCCCCCAGCCGAAATGGTAGTCTCCCTAAAAGACTATAGTCCTTACTATAGGGACCCCCTAATTTTGGGGAACCCTAAGCCCTATATAATCCCAATATATAGGTTGCTTGGAGGGACCCCTTAATTTTGAGAAACTCTGAAAACCCCACAACCTCAAGCCCTAAACCCTAAACCCTAAACCCTAAATCCTAAACCCTAACCCTAAATCCCAAACCCTGAACCCTAAACCCTAAACCCTGAACCCTGAACCCTAAGCCCTAAAGACTAAACCCTTAACCCTAAACCGTGTCCAGGGGAGCTCAAGGGCGGGGCTCAAAGTTCCGGTCCGCCGTCTTCAGGGTGAAGCCGAAACTCCTGGTCTGAGAGTCCCGGTCAGCATATGTTCAGCATATGGGGGAGGTTCCTGAAAATACTGTTGATACCATAAATCCTGCATGACCCTAGTACACTATAGTACCATAATTCCTGAGGTATAAGGTACCTAGGGTCATGCAGCATTTTTAGTATCCTCCGTAGGTGTACCATTTTGGGGTCCTGAAATAAGGTTTATAATTTTTTGGGGTAGTAACTGGCGCCCCCCTATTCAGGAAAAACAACTCTGCTCTGAGATTCACGGCCGGCATATGAGGGTTTAGGGTTGAGGGTTTAGGTTTACTTGGAGTGTCCCGGGGACTGACTAAGTAGGTTATTGATTAGGATAACTGGGGTAACTACATGGGTTATAGGGGCTAGTAAGTCCCCATGACCCCCCTGGCATCCTTGTTAATTAATAACTCCCATAGTAGTCCCCTATATACTCCCCTATAGAAGCCCGTTCAAGGAGTTTAGTCTATGACTCATATGCAGTTCGGGTTACTTACAAAGTTTCTCAACATGTCGGTGGCTTTTTGGCGGTATTTGAGGGGAACCCTTCTTTTGAGAAGGGCGCTGATGCGACTCCCGCAAAAACTCCACGTCACAAAGCGTTCCGAGAGTAACAATAGATTCTCATAGACTACCCTGGGGATCCAGATAGCCCAATGTAGGTAATATTTACAGACTTTAGGCCCAATGTAGGTATTATTTGTAGACATGGATCCCTAGGGTTATAATATGTTATAATGTACTCTTTCAGGTTCAGAGCTCAAGGCTGCTTCCTCTTTCTTGCTAATTGGATTTAGGGTTTAGGGTTTAGGGTTCAGTTCTTCAGAACATTGGTTGGCTGCGTTCTTGGGTTATGTTGGGGCTTACCCAACTTACCTGCATTTGATCCTCGCCGTCTAGGGCGAAGCCAACTCAGACTATCACACACCGACCTAAGCCCTAAACCCTAAACAGTCTCAGACTTGACCTCATGGGTTCAACTAGTACCCCCCTCCAGACTACCCCCCCTTAGGTTCCCTCTTAATTACCCTTAAATAAGCCTAATTATCACTAAATAACCTTAGTTAAGGGGGGAACCTAGGGGGGTAGTGTAGAGGGGTGTAACAGTTCGACCCATTATGACCTTACACTTCAAATTGCAAATCCCAAAGCCTAAAGAACCTAGAGCTTCAAGGCACCTCACCCGTAAGAACCACTATAATATGCTTCCCAAAACAGGGTGACCCCGAACTCCTATTATGGGGACCCCCGAAAAGAACCCCTAATGTTGGGAAACCGCAAAACCATAAACCCTAAACCCTAAACTCTAAACCCTAAACTCTAAACCCTAAACCCTAAATCCTAAACCCCAAGGCCCCTGCAAGCTTTTGCCCCTTCTGGACTTGGCGGGTAGAGGCAACCTCATTGCAGTGTTTCGTTTTTCTAGGTTAGGGTTGAGGGTTTATAGGGTTTAGGGTTCAGGGCTGAGGTTTTAGGGTTTAGGGTTTAGGGTGTCTAGGGTTTAGAGTTCAGGGTGTTCAAAGCCATGGGCGTAGCACAGAGTTTTTTGAACTGAGCACAGGCTTTAAGGTGGAGTGGGGGATCTAGGCTCCTGGGCTATTAGACTCAATCTCCACCCAAAAGCTGCGACTTGCTTGAAATTGCTTAATTGCCGTGATGCACTTCCAACAACTCTGGTAGGCTCTTGCGAAAGCTCAGACGGTGAGGATGACTATCGTGAACAGGCACCCGATTTTGTCTTGCTCAGTCACGTGCCTTTGTCATGTCCGCAAATAAATGCGCGCTGCTTGCAGTAGGCAAGACCGTTTCAGCTTGACCATGCAGTTTGTTGCCGCAAGTCGCGGATCGTTCTTACAGTTTTGGTACGGGCCTTGTGCAGAACTGATTCTTCTGCTATTGCTCATTTTGCTCGATGGCAGGGATGCGCTGCTTTGGTGAAGGGGCATAACTAACGGTTAACCTGTACAAGGTAGCAGTTGTCTCCAGGGCAGGCCGCACATGATTGGAGAGGCATCTGCCTAAAGCTACGCATCGGAAATTCAACTGCTATATACTTAGTTCCCAGATATAACGCATTCCCTATATTCCCTACTAACCCCCCCCGTAAGCTGCTCAAGCCGTGTTCCACTTCATCACTGAAATTCCCTGTACCACGTCGACTGGGATTCACGGTACTTGGCCTTGACAGTTCCACACGCCAGTTACCTCTTAACCCTAAGGATTCAAATACTTGGATCCCTAGGGTATAGTCCCCCTTAAGTAGGTAGAACATGGGGTATATGGGGATCTTATTACAGTATACCCATAGCCATATTCTATCTACTTAAGTGGGGGGCTATAAGCGTTAAGAATTCCCTCCGCTCGCGCTTTTCACGCTAGTTTCCAGTTTTAAGTTAAGGACTTTCGTCAATTGTCCAGAGATGTAGATGAGCTTGGTGTTTTATGGTGCTGGCCGCATTCGGTTTCGCAACAAACCTGCTCTTTTTCCTACATGCGTTGTTGCATTCAATCGTTTTCGCTTGCTTTGGCTTTTTTGTTGCAACGGCAACACAATGTAACGCTGCTTTTAACTTCTCATGTCAAGTTGTGGTACTTTCCCTAAATAAGGGGACCCCAATATAGACCCCAATATACTATAGTCCTTATTCTAGGGACCCCAAAAAAAGGTACCCCTAATTTTTGGAAACCCCCTTGTCTTGCCCGGCAATCCGTGCGGCTTTTCTGCCTTCCGATGTGCTTGGCCAGAATCTCAACTCGGGGACTTTGGGGGATCCCTCGAACAAGGAATCCCAGAGGGTCCATGTACCC